ACACACACACACACACACACACACACACACACACACACACACACACAGTAAGACATGCTTAAGTTCATGAATTGATTAATTACATGAATTAAACTGAATCAGGCCATATGAGTCATGTGTTAATGAGTGTGTGTTGAGGCTGTGTCATTACCAATCCATGACCAACCTTGTGCAAAGAGGATCTCATGATTAGAGAGCAACAGAAGTGAGATAGAGGCTGGATTTCTATCACCAGGCAAAGTCTGACTTTCTGAAAGACAAAACCTTGAGAGGACATTTGCACTGTTTCCTGCTCCTACAATAGTCCATATATAGAAAAGGTTGCGTGTTCGTGTCCTTTCACAGGCTAAAGAAGGTCACATTGGCAAGATCAGTGGTGCAGCTGTGGAGAGTAACATTCACTCAAGTTTTTTAGGTACTTGTACTAAATTTTTTCTTTCTACTTCTATTACATTTCAGAGCTAAATATTGGATGAGAAAACAAGCCCTATAATGTTTCATCACAGACGGGATACAAATCTTAAGCACATTTATTTGTATCTGTGCATAGCTTCACATCCAAATGACCAAATGTTGCGTTTTCCCAATGTGTACATGAACCTATCCGTCATTTTTCATTTTTTGCCGAGCTGTGACAGCAAAATAATAAATAAATGACTCGTTAAATACATTTATATTCCATTAAATATAATAAATATTATTAATAATAATATGGCGGCATTCATTCATTTATTTTTCTAAATTGATGTGATCATGACTTTAGTTTTCATTTATTCAACATGTATTTTTAAATGTATTTATTCATATTTATTGATGTATTATTTCCCCTAATCCTCATCAGTTATTTAATCTCTGAGTCTACAGTGTTGACTTCCCCACACAGGGGTTAAGTAGAATTGCTCTCATTAAACAACATTCAAACAATTTGAATATTTATATTTATTACATTACACTGGCTGTCTTTGCTTACAATAGACGGCTGACAACATGCGATGCATCACTTTACAGATCCATGTCTAATCGTACATGAATGGAGGTAAGATATGGTTAAAAAATTAAAAAAAGGTAAAATATGACCTCCAGTCAGTAAACATGACGCGGCAAAGCCTCAAACATGAGCAAAAATCTGTTCTCTTTTCAGAGAATCACTCATTCATGATCTCCTTTAATATTTCATGTACTCAGTGTAATGCTTAGCATGGTGCTACTCCCTCTGAGGGAAACAAAGACTGAAGCTTGCATGCATGGTTGCATGAGAACACTCCCCTCTGCAAAACATACAGGGAGCTCATTTCCTCCATTTATTTTGTTGGTCTGATTAGAATGGTCTAATTATTTCCAAAACCTTTCATCATTACACTTTTATTTCTCATCTGACATTTGTAAATATCTGAAAAACAAATGCTGTATCGGAATTTTCAACCATTGCATATCAAAATGTATTACCATTAAACCAGTCCGTCACGGCCACATGTACTTAATCACAAACACACACTCAGGGTGCCGTCAGTGATGCTGCTTTATAGGATAACACTCTATTAAGCAGTCATTTATAGCGAGGCATCATTCACACAGCAGACACACAGGGGACAGACGCACATCTGTCTGCAGAGCATCCACTCCGACTAGACTACAGGCTCTCACACTTCATTATTTCCCCTCTAACGCAAAGTAAAGGACGGACTTCCTTACAGCTCTTTATCTACTGAGGTCTAAATAACAAACAGTGAAAGCTAACTGTCACCTGAGTCCCATAACTCTCATCCCCCTCAAACCAGACTGGACCGTCACTGCTGCAGTCCCTCTTGTGTCCAGCAGGGGCTGCTCCAAACACACAGGCTAGTCCGGGGCTCCTGTCGCTGGTCCTGCTGCTATTGATGCTCCAAAATTAACTTGTGTGTACTTGCCACTCCATGATGCCCAGCTCTCCCCAAAGAGCCTCTTTTAGCACGCTAAACACCACTCAAGTAGCAGAGCAGCCACAAAACACACACAAGGACTTCTTTCTGTGCTGCTATTTATGCACCAAACTCCATGATGTTGTTTTTACGTTTTAAGCTGCATCTGCTGAAACATTCTATCATGTTGCATTATACAATTGAGGATGCAGAGACACAGTATGCATATCATTGCATCGGCACGACTCCCTGGTTTAAAAGGCTGTTTTTTAACTGACTTCAGAAAGATAAGAAGGTCCTGATTTTATTTGGCCACGACACAAAGCTACAGTTTTCCATGAAGGTGCAGGCCTCAGCAGTCTTACATCCAAATACTTTTAGAATAGATAAGAAAAACAAGAATATGGACATAGACTCACACTCACTAATCAGATCAAGTCAGCGTCAGTCACTTTTTGACACTAAATTTACTAAAATCCTCTGATACACACGGATCATTTCAGAGGAAACAAGAGGATCCTTTGTGTGTGTGTGTGTGTGTGTGTGTGTGAGGGTCTGTATATCCACTCATGCGTGTCTGCTGTTGTGACAGAGAGACATGACGGATCCCTCTTACATCAGTGGGAGGCCACCCGGCATGCACGCACACGCACACACCCGCACACACACACACACACACACACACACACACACACGCTCGCATCACATCAACGGTGACGGATGGACCGGTTGCCTCCCTCATCATTCACCCCCAGAGACAGGAGAGAGAAAGAGAGGGGGCAGGATGAAACAAAAGGAAGGGGAGAAAAATAAATAAATGTATGTGTGTGTGTGTGGGGGGGGGGGCGACATGAGAGGTAAGGAAGGAGACGGGATTACTCTCCAGTAATGACACACACCATCATCTCATTTCCATCCGTTGACACTTAAAGACATCATTCAGCCTTGTTCTCCGGCTGCCGTTAACCATTGAGCCTCCAGTGCACCCAGCTGGGGAATTGATTCCATGTAAGACCTCTGTGACAAGTCAATAGGCAAAAACCCGGATTAAGCTTTGATTGGACGCGGCGACATCACCGAGCATGAAGAATTTAAAAGGACTTACAAGCCGCGATCATGCGACTGCAGGTTAATCCAGAGGGTTTAGGTTTTTATTCCAGAGGACAAACATATCTCATATGATTTGCCTCTCGTTGTTGACTACCCTACATATCTTTTCCCATAAAAGGTCTCACGGGGGACAGCAGACAGGGAGGGGCCTCGCCTCTTATAGTCATTTGTTGATATAGCCAAGTCGATTTACAGAAATGATTGATGGCGATGTATTCTTGTTGTTTATTCATGTGTCATTTCTGAGCTAGTTTGCATGGAGTGGTGGAATGTAGTACATACAGAGAGACAATAAATACTGTTCTTTAGTACCATACTGAGGTATGAGTACTTTCCTTGAGTATTTCCATTCAATGCTACTTTAAACATTTTAAATGAAAATATTGGTTACTAGTCATTCAGGGGATTAATACATTTTATAGAAAACCAGTCACGAGTTTATAGAATATGATGCGGTGTGCATCTCCCCCACAGCGTGTGAAATTAATAAATTAGGTCCACTTCAAAACAACTACAACAGTAAAATGGGGCGTCCACGTGTCCCAGGGGTCTCCTGATGCCGACAAGGACGTTGTAACATCCTTTGTTGCAAAAGTTGCCAAAACTTGAACAAAATACTTTGGCCTCCAACGTGCTCAACATGATCGGCTCCTGTGAGACTGGTTCAAAGCATCGCGGAGGATCTCAAGTCAAAATACTAAAAGTACAAACAAAGTAATGAGTGATTTGATCCAGAAACACTATAAAATGAACATTCTTCAATGCAAGTATATCTAAATACTCCAGAGTCCTTGTGTTAATTGATCAGTTAAATCTTGTTGTAAGTCACATATCTGTGTTTTACATCAGATCATATTAACAAGCGATGCTCTGTATTTGTTTCATGGGGA